TTATGCGTCAGAGAGTTGGATAATGACCAAGAAGGATAGAAGGAGAACTGATGCCTTTGAGCTGTGGTGCTGGAGAAGAGTACTAAGGGTACCATGGACTGCTAGGAAAGCAAACAGATTCATCCTGGAGAGGGTTAAACCAGGCGGCTCCTTGGAGGCAAGGATTCTGAGGTTTCGTCTAACATACTCTGGACATGCTGTAAGGAGGGGACCGGTCCTTGGAGAGGGACATCATGCTTGGTTGGGTTGAGGGACAACACCAGAGGGGAAGGCCCTCTATGAGGTGGTCTGATTCAGTGACTGGGGTTATCGGGATGGGTGTATCGGAGACAGTGCGACTGGCACAGGACAGAGCAGAGTTTAGGGCTGTTGTACATAGGGTCACTATGAGTCGGAAGTGACTCGACGGCACATAACAACAACAACAACAACAAGCCAGAAAGACAGAGTGATGCTTCCAGGATACGCTACAGAGACAGGAACTCATGGATCAGAGCACTATTCAAATGTTCTGTGTTTTGTTCTTGTCTCTGTAAACTGTTGTTTAGAGCATTCTGAAAATTTTAAGATCCTATTATTAATAGGTACTAACAACACAATGACTCCTAGGCCAAGGCTCTTCTCACTCCATGAAAACAGAGTATCCACTGATAAAGGGTAATGTATATTATGCGCTGTAATGCCAGCCACAGTTCCCAGCCACACCCAAGATGCATCACACACTGAAGAATAATTAGCCAGCCCTCACCACCCTGTAGACTTCCAGGGACCTCATGTACAGGAGAATACAGAGAATACAAACGCTCCCTCCTAGGCCTCTAGTTTACAGTGGGCACCTCACTGCTCATATACTTCTTTAGTTGCTCAGATGCTTATTTGTTGTCAAATACATTCCTTCCAACTCATTAACTAGCTTATTATGTAAAAATATAGAGATATTAAATTAGGTTTTCCAGTTTTTGCAGGTCTCATCCCCTAAACAATGTTGTCAGTGAGTCTACAAATCCCAGGACTTTATTGCTGCATCACCCCTGAGCCCTGTTAAGATTGTGCCAAGCTCAAATGCCATTCTCCTACTGAAAGGCTGTATGTCTCTGCCAGCATTTCACTCTTTTTTTTTTAGCATTTCACTCTTGAATAAACATGTTTCCTATTAGCCAAAATATTTGGTTACTTTCAAATGGGACTCTGCAACTGGAATCTTTAGTCCAACTTGATGCCCAATTTAGATGCTCTTACTCATTTATATTAGGTTTAGACCATTCATCTTCTTTGAGTAAGTATGGAGCTTCTGGCAGAGAAACTGTTGTTAATGGAGAAAGTAGTTTCATCCTATCCCAGCCTAAACTAACAAAAATAATAATAGTAAGTGTGAACTCACTTTGTTAATTATAAAGTCTTAGGCAACTGGATCATTAGCACCTCTGAACTGCTAGGCCAGGGGTTTTTTCACTATATTTAGTAGTAAACAGCCCCCTACATTCCTAGAACCTACCCACATTCACTGTTCCTTTCTTCTGCTTTTCCCCCAGTATAAATTTGAGCTTCATTTATAAAAAAATTATGGTTAGAATTTCTTTGGCTTCACATTTCCCCTAGATCTTCACTTTCTCCTGGAATAAAATTCTTAAAATAGGATTCCCACTGCTAGTTCATCATAATGCTAGAAACTTACTGTCTATGTGAAAAGAAACACACAAATGACCTCCAAGCACATAGTTCCATTTCTTGCTCCAGAAAAGTCAACAGTCGCTCATATTTAGTATATAAAGTTGTGGTGTCTGGTGTCCAATACAAAAGCCATTAGCCCAAAGTAGCTATTGAAATGAATTAAAATGTAAAAGTCAGTTCCTTAGTTGCTTAACAGCCACATACAGCTAATGGTTACTATATAGATAGCACAATACAGAACACATCCATCATCTGAGCATATTTACTGGGAAGCACTGAGTGAGGCTACTTATGAACAACAGTGTTGTAAGAAATGGTGACTACAGGCACAGATGATAGGTCACGAGTAAGCAGTACTCTCTGAAATGACTTATCTGGAAAGCATACTCTATACTCTTCCAGCACTAGTGTCAGTTTAAAGAGCACATTTCAGATTTAAAGGGTGATCTGGTTCCTTACCAAAAATGTCTTTTGCTCAGTGGCCCCTGCACATGAGCCTGTTGTAACTGGGGGGCTGCTCAGAAGGGCTGGGCTGCTGCTGTTGTGCTTTTTCTTTAAAAACAGAAAAACTGAGGTTAATTTCTTTTTTCTATGCAACAGAAAAAGTCTGATGATATTCAAGTAAACTGTGGATCTACAGAGCCAGTAGCTTTTGCTAGGATTATTTTCTAACCAGCACTCAATCTTTTTGACGTCTTTTTCCCTTCATAATCATGTTATTTCAATGACACAACAGCAGGCACAGTAAAAATCATGACTTGTCTTATTTTAGGTTTTAAGCAAAAGGATTCCTGAAAGATAATCTCCCTTAAGGAATGACTGGGGACCTTTCCATCCCTACTTTTCCCAGCCTGTTCCTTCTGGGTCTTCTAATTCAAGAAAACTTTCCCAATTTACCCACTAGCTGATGTCCACATGAATAGACCAGTTTGGAGAAAGGTCAGCTGACCGGAGCACATCAGCAAGCACACTCCACATAGGAAGACAGGAAGGAAAGTGAGGTCATTAGGCTCAAGCCTGGGGGAGGGGACTTACTTCTGGTAAGAACGCTCATTCCAAAACTAGATACGAGTGCAAACAAGTTGTAGCAAGGAAGAACTCACACACAATTAAGACAGAATGATGTATGAAAATAATACAAGAATGGATTTTAGTCTGTTGTTCCTCCAGCTCTATAGGGTAGCCATAAAACTAAAAGCAACTTTTGAAACTAATTTTTGTGTTATAGCATGAAATAAAAGGACTCTCAAGGTCCCAACATTTCCAAAGCAAGAAATATTCTGGGAGTTAACTCTAGCAGACTCCAGACAGAAAAATCTTTGTGAGCCTTATACTTTCTCCAGGAATCAAAGGTGTTTCAGAAGAACAGACGTAAAAGGTACAAAGGTGGAGGGAGAGCTCACTAATAACGAGGAGAGCCACCAAAGAAAATGTCATAGACAAATGTTCCTCAAATATGCTGGGAACCTACTGGGGTGGAGGACAGCATCCCTTCACTCACTTCCCTCTGCAGGCCTAAGTGCTCAGGAGACAGAGGACACTGGAGGCAAGAATATTCTCAACAGCACATATGGCTAAACTTTACAAAATATAAGAACTCTTTTCTCAAAAAACAGACAATTCCAATAAAGCAGGTATTGTTTTTTACCTGAGTAAACAGAGGAACAACTATAAAACAAATACACCTAATTTCTGCTGCCTTTAGAATATATTGGGCAATGTTTCAATAATCAGGAAGCTCTGGTGGTGTATGTAGTTCATAGAAAGCTGCACCGCTAACCCAAAAGTGGTATTTCTCCCACCAGAGGTCCTAATCCACCACAGATCTGCGGGAGAAAGATGTGCAGTCTCCTCCCATGCAATTTATAGTCTCCATACCCCCACTGGAGGGTCAGCTATCAGTCAGATCTGACTTAATGGCAATGGGTTTTTGAGAGGCTTTCCCCCCAATAAATAAATACTCTTCCCCCCTAGTTCTTGTGGCTTAGTGGTAAGAAGTGGTGCTGCCAACCCAAAGGCAAGTGGTTTGAATCCACCAGCTCCCCCACAGGAGAAAAACAGGCAGTTTCCTCCCATATGATTTACTGCCTCTGAAAACCTGCTGGGAGGTCAACTATGAGTTGATTCAGACTTGACAGTACACACAATAAAAAATTAACTTTTCTTGAGTATATATATACATAACAAGGTAAAAAATATTCTGAGGTAGATAGATATTATGAAGGTGGGTAAAATATTTGACAAATAACAAAGAAAAATAATTGTATGAACACTGTCTTCACAATGAAAGAATTAATCTCCACAGATGAAAAGCTGCCATGGTCAGATGCACATGGTTCTAGACTGGATCATGGACACACAAGGGGTTAAGAGAATCTAAACCTACTATTAAGTTAATTTAGCTTCTCAGATACTTCCCATTTGAAAATTCTTCCCCAGCAAATCTAGCCAGCACACCTACCTGCCTATTTGGGTGGCCCGTATCCTTGTTCTTCATGGTCTCATATCCAGGCACCCGGGAACGTCGGCTCATCTGGAGGGCCACCAGATCCTTCATGATTGAGTCCAATGCTTCTTGTTCATCTGTTGTAAAATAGAGCACACAGGCTAAGATACTTAAATATAGACCAGCAAAAAGTACTTTTACAAATTACACAACTAATACGCAGGGTGTTCCAGCCAAGGGAAATAACAGACCCTACAACATGCATTTATTTGATGACTCTGAAAAGTAGATAACTAAGCTAATTTTAAATTTAAAGAGTCCTTAACAGGTTCTCTTTCTAACATCAATATTGATTCGTTTATGTACATGAATGTGTACACCCAAGCGGAACAAACTCAGAGAAAGCCAGAAAACTCAGAGAAAAAGAAATGAGCAAGTGGTATGACATAACAGCAAAGCACCAGCAGAGTCCAGAAATGAAAAGTTGGTAGAGATCCAATTATAGGATAAAGTGAGTTTCAAACCTATTTTTAAAAGCATCATATGTGGGAATAACACATTTTTTTATTAACACATTTTAAAAGTATCAAACAAGGACCTCATGTAGCTACTTTAAATAGAAGTTGTTCTATAAACCTAATCTCTGAATCCCACCCCCCTCCAATCCTTTACAAGTTTATAGGCCCTCCGCTTCCTACAGGGAAGTCAAAAGGCAGTTCTATTGTGTTGTTTCTCTAACTAGCCAGGCAATGCATTGTCTCTGCTTTAGTGGTATTACTTACAATTTCTTTTTCTTGAAATAGTTCTCATGCATTGAGGGCTAGTGACAAAAATTCAGAACTCACAACAGTCTAAAACTATGTTTTGCAAAATTTTCCTAGGTTCTTCAAAGCACCCTTGTTCAACTCAAATAACATTGGATGAACCTGAAAAAAAGGATTCTTTTAAGTTAAGAGTTAAATATAAATCTACTGATCAAGACAAGAACATGAGGCATGAGCTGTTCCACTTTGCTGTGGTGACAAATGAGTCACTCGGGGCACACCTTAAAAGAAGCAAGTACCAAAGGCTCCACCCAAGGAGAGTGTCTATCTCCTGCCCTTTATCACTGCCCTTGGTAATACTCTAATACCCACAGGAAAGGAAAAAGAAACATGAAGTATAGAAAGTAGAGCCGCTCCATTTTCTCCCCCCATGCTATATGGCCATCCTAGGCCACATGTGTTCAAGTGCCTATGTTGTCCTTTGTGAGCATACAGGAAAGGAAGGAAGGAGAAGGATGCCTAAGAGGAGATTTTTGCCTGCTCAGAAAAGTGAAATTAAATTTAAATCCTGTAAGAAAAGTAAGAGTAGTCTCCTATATAATTTCACTTCAAAATACTTAGCAAAGTATGTGTGAGTCACCATCAATAATACCAAAAGCACAAAGAAAAGGAACAGTGAATGAGGAAGACATGAATATCTACACATAGACCTCTGTCAAGATTAAAATATATATTTTTTTCCACTAATTAGTTTCTACTTTCTACTAGCTCTCCTAAAAGATCCTTGCTTAATTTTTTGTTTTGTTTTTTAACTTCTTTATCAAAGTTTGAAAATTAGAGTATAGTATCTAAATTAGGAAGACCCAATTTTTATATATTGTTGTTGTTAAGTGCCATCATCGAGTCGCAGATGACTCATAGTGACCCTATGAATGAAAAACCTAAACACTTGTATAACTTTCATTGTTTTTCCAAATACATAGCGTTGCCAGGGGCAAGCTATTTTGGAAGTGGATGCCATTCTTGCTTCCAATCTTGTTTGAATTGGGAAGCTCCACCAAATACTGTCCACCATGGGTAACCATTATCGCATTTGACACATCAGTGTCACAGTGTTCAGCATCATAGCAACCATGAGTAACCTCTGTACAGCAAATGGACAGACCAGTGCTATATCACTTAGAGGTGTTTGACCAAAAACAATTAAAACCAGGCCTGAGGGCCACAGATTAAAATCACCTATCTTTGACTTGGTAGCATAACTTTCTATCCATCAGGCCCACAGAGCTCTGTGTTGGTGGTGGTGTTGTAAGCAAAATAATTAAAAAATCCTCACCCACTGCTGTTGAGTCAATTTTGACTCCCAGTGACCCTCCAATGGGTTTCTAACCATGTAAATCTTTACAGAAAAAGAATTTTTCTCCTATGGAGAGTACCTGAAGGATTTGAACCACTGGTCTTACGGTTAGCAGTCTGATATGCTTTGTACGCTGCCATTGGACTAAATAAACTGAGTCAAATGCATCAGTAAATTAAAGAGGATTGTGACTAGATCACTGTTTTCTAAGGCACATCCAACAAACTAGGTACTGAATACATAGGATTTCAGGACCAATGTAGATACTCGTAGAATTGAGTATTTATTTTCTAATATTAAATCAGACACCACCAGCAACACACACACACACACACACACACATTTTTCAAACCAAACTGACAAATAAATGTGCCTGGAGAAACCATTTCTGATCCTGGAGAAGAAGGTGCTATAATAAGAGCTAGTTTATCAGGTTGAAAAATTCCATTTCCAAGAAGCTAACCAATTCCTGGCATTACTTATTGGATAAACTTGTTTGGTAGTTTCAGTGCTCAGAATATACCAGAGTAATGGTTTAGCACTCTCAGGGATGACTGACACAATGAAGAAGAATTAGAAAATATGATTTTGTGCTAAAGTAGAATACACAGCTAGAACCTAAAGAGCATGGATAAAGGCAGGAAGTAAAGCAAGCAGCTCTTTCAGGGCCTCTATTTCCCTATTTGTGAGATGAGAATAATAAAGAGCAAAATTTCATAGTGAGGGTTAAAACAGGCATGGTCCCTAAGGTGAGCCCTGGTGGTTCAACGGTTAGGTGTTCAGCAGCTAAGCAACATGAGAGATTCAAACCCACTAGTCATTCTGTGGGAGAAAGATCTAGTAGTCATCTGCTGCTATAAAGATTACAGCAAGAAACCCCCCCCAGGGCAGTGCTATTCTGTCATGAACAGTTGCTGTGAGTGGAATCGTACTCTGTGGTATACAACAGTATTTAATAATGGCTCATAACTGTCATGAGTGGAAAAAGTTTGAAAACCTCATAATCTGGAAGAATGATGTTCCCAGATTTTTATTCATCAATAGCAATGATAATTCCTTGAACAGCTATTATATATATTAGAAAAAAATTTCAAAAATATTTGGAGGTGTTCATACTTTAGGACTAAAATAACAATCACAAAAATGAGTATATAGTTTGAATTAGACAGTATACAGACAGGAGTAGACCAAAAAATATTTTTAAAGTTTAAGTAGCAAGAGTAGCAAAAGTTGATCTTACAAAATACATTAAAAGAACAAGGATTCTTTGATAAATGCTATGCTTTTGGTGATGCCAACAAGTTGGCCCCAAAATCACAATGACCTTATACAGAAGGGAACCAAATGTCACCCAGTCCTGTGCCATTCCCATCAATGGCTGCAGATTAGACACTGAGATCTATGAACACTTACATGAAAAACTAGAGAAAAAGGCACATGAGGACAACATAAGGGGGAATGGGGCAGGTGGAAGAGGGCCAGAGAATGACCTTAGTGAGCCAGCCTAATCAAGTACAGTGAAAAGAAAGGAAGCTGGCAAAGGAGCCTTTAAAAGGATTAAAACTCCACAGACCCCAAGACCAAGGAAGAGGCAGTAAGCCTGGTAGGTCCAAGAGTGGTAGAGGCAGAAACAAAATTTTGAGAAGTTGATTTTTTTCTAACCAAAAGAAAATTGACAATAGTGAAAATCAACAATTCCTTTGTAAATGTTACACACAGGACATGGGAGAATCCTATGCTACCACCTCAGAAAGATTTCCTAAGGATGGGGGTAGAATGCCACACTTAACAGTTACTAGGAAGACGCACCAAGAGGGAGAAGCTAATTCCTGAGATGAAAAGATTAAGAATCTACAGTATACACCGAAAATACAGGGGGGAAAGGGTTGAGGGGACCTATGAAACAAGGATTAGAGCTCAAGCTTAAAAAATATCAGGTATAAGGAAGTTTTAAGAAGACAGTAATCTACATTTATACAACATTAAGTACTTTTTCTTCTCCTGATAACCTGATTTACTATGAGGGGTGTACCAAATAATCCACTCTTCTCTTTAGTGCCAGCAGAAAGTCACTCTGTCTTCAGACTGAACGACTACTTCTATCTAAAAACAGGGTCTATGAGATTTCACATTTATAAATGCCCTTGATTAAAAATCCAGAAAAGCTTCTAGAAGCACCATGGCTTCTAGTCAACAATGTTGTCTTGTGTGATGTTGGTTTACTATGCCAAATATTCTTCTTCATATACAAACCAACAAAATAATATTTTAATCTTTGCTTTTACTTAAGTAATGATGTTATTTCTTCATCTTCTCTACTCAGTTCTGCCAGATCAGCTGATCACCTTGTTCACTCACATTACCCTGTGTATCTGAGTGAGATTTTAACCTTTTTCTTCATGACATTTTACACACTTCTACTGCCTCCACCCGTCCATACTTGTGCAAATATCATTTGATAGCAAGTATGCTATTTTGTTGCTATGTGCTATTGAGTCAACTACTACTCATAGCAACCCTATGCTCTGAATCCTGCTCTATCCTGAGCCAATCTCATTATCTCTGACACACCCACCCTTATTACCCATTACTGTGTCAATCCCTCTCACCTAGGGTCTTCCTATCCTGTGCTGTCCCTTTACCCTTCCAAGCATAGTATTTTTCTCCAAAGACTGGCTACATGCCTAAAGATGAGACAGAGTCTCAAAAGCTTTGCCTCCAAGGACCAGCTTAGTTTCACTCTCTCCAGGACAGACCTGGGTTTGGTTTGTGGTTTTGTTTTTTGGGTTTTTTTTGGCAGTCCATGGTGTGTCCAAGACTCTTCTCCCAGCACCACAACTTAAAGGCATCAATTCTTCTGTCATCTTTGGTCACTGTCCAACTCTCTGATGCATAGTAAGTAATTATGAAGAGCATGGCCTGGATCAGGCACACCTGAGTCTCTAGACTAACATACTTGCTCTCTTCAGCACTCTGGAGAGGTCCCAGACAGAAGATTTTCCTAATGTAATTCATC